GTATGTACCTAAGGTATGTACCTATGTAGTGTTGATCTGCTCAGTCAAGTGGCGTGTAAATATGTAAGTGCGCATGGAACAGGTTGCATTTACTCTGTGCATACTCCGTACGCACGGAATAGTGAAAATGGAAACTTATTTAAACGAGAATTACGATGTGCATTTCAGAGAGAGGGAGAGAAGGGAGAAGCAACGCGAGGGTACATGGAACATACTCCGGGGCCCGGGCTCACGAGTTCTTGGGGATCGTTTCCAATCGCGAGTCCAGTTCTGGCCATTTCTAGCCCTCACTTGGGGTACAGTACATAATTGCTGCATTTTTGATTCGACAGCCACAATTGAAAAACATTAATGACAAAGTAATTTCGCCCTCCAGCCCGAGTTTACACATGTACATGCCTAGACATGTACGTACGTAGGTACACATACATGTACTACACGGTGTGCCTATTTCAACCCGTCCGGCGTCAAGTTGTCAACGGCCATGCCCCACTGCACGGCCGTCGGCCCCCACTTCCGATTCGGCAGGAGCGGGGTACGGCATGTGAGCCCGTCTCTTGCAGCCTGCAGATGCCCTGTTCGCTCCTTCAAGCTTGTTAGAATTGATCATCTCGCGCGCAGCCCCTTTTCCAGGCATCTTCGAGACTGAGCTCGGCGCGTCGCCATGGGAGCATTAATACACCAAGCCCGCTCTCGGAAATAGGCTTTGCCTTACTGTTCTTGTAGTTTCCCTCTTTCCGATTACCTACGTTGCATACGCTCGGACCTCGCTGTACCACGTGGCCGAGGATGCTGGCAAGACAGCTGACATCATAGCCTGCTTGCGACAACGGCGCCCTCTCTCTCTCTCTCTCGTGCTCTCACGAGCTTTCGTGGTCCCCATTTCACCCATCTCTCAGGACGCCCCTGGGGCCGAAGCGTTCTGGGAAAATGTTGCTCCTGCACCAGGTCGGCAGTGTCAAGGTCGGCGAGGTGATCCGATACAGCCTCACGTACACGCCCTCGCAAGATCGAATCCTCCCCTCACCCGAAAAACTACATGTTCGAATTCGAAATACCTCGACCATCGCCCTTCGCGCTGCCTTTGTCCACGGGCCCTATACCCTGTCTGTTTCGGCGTATCCTTCTCACTTCAACCCCAATGAAAAGTTCACCAATCCTCGCCGGTACGGAGCCCCCCGGTTCGAGCCCATGCTCAAGGCGGGAGGATCCTGGGAGTGCGAGCTGATCGTCCCGGACAACATTCGCCAAGACGCCGGCATTGGAAGCAACAAAACCTTTGGAAAGGGTCCCGAACACGATGGAGAATGCGCAAAGTGGGTGATTGAAATAGCCTCCCAGGTCATATTCTCTACTTCAGCTGCCGTGGGCTTCGATGTAGTCGTGGCGCGCGATCATAAATCTCTCAACCTCAGCCAGTCGCTGTCGTCGATTGGGGGCAACTTCAGTCAAGTGCCGCAGCCCGGGAAACTGATCGATCACCGGCAAAGTGTCGGTGCCAAGGACGGGCACCATCTCGGTCAGCCAAAGGGTGTCTTCTCAAGGGCCATACAGCTCAAGGTGGACGATTCCGCGGCGCTTTGGAACACGCCCAGCCTTCCCGGCTGGGATGATGACTCTGGAAACAAGAGCGCCGGAAAGGACGCCGGTGCTAATCAACCTGTGCAGAGCGTGGTGAACACTGGTGATCCGGAGGTCGAGGAGCTGAAACAACCGAAAAAGCCACACGGCAAGAAGAAGAAGAAGAAGGTCCATCTTGTCATATTGACGCATGGTCTGCACAGCAATTTAGGCGCTGACATGCTTTACATGAAAGAAAGCATTGATGCGGCCGCTAGGCAAGCACGCATTGATGCGAAGGTTAGAAGGGCAAAGGAGAGAGCTGCAAAAAGGCCAAGGGCCGATAAGCAGCCTGATGTCTCGATGAACGAGGATTTACCGCCTAAAGAAGGCCAGGATGGTATCGCAAATAATGTGGACAATGACGACGACGACGATGACGATGAGGAAGTCATCGTGCGTGGATACCCTGGAAATGCTACTAAGACAGAGAAAGGAATCAAGTACCTTGGGAAGAGATTATCACGGTATATTCTATCGATAACATATCCAGACCAGCCATTTCTTCCAATTGCGAAAGGTGCTCTGAAAGGCGGCGCCGGTGAGGGTGCTGTTGAAGCCCTAACGGGTGATCACCATCATCACCACCATAGTCTTCATCCTCATCATCTCTTTCACCAGGATCAGCCACACCAAAACGACAACCACGAGGTGAAACAAGCGCACAAGAATAGTGACATTCAAGCCGATACTACCAAGGCAAAGCATGATAGACACTGCAGAAGCTATCATATCACAAGCATAAGTTTCGTCGGACACTCTCTTGGCGGCCTGATTCAAACATACGCTATTGCTTACATACAGAAACATTCGCCCAAATTCTTCGATCTTATTCAGCCCGTGAATTTCATTGCGATGGCGACCCCTTTTCTGGGATTAAGCAACGAGAACCCGCTTTACGTCAAGTTCGCCCTTGACTTTGGACTTGTGGGCAGGACCGGGCAAGATCTTGGCTTGACCTGGAGAGCGCCTACTATTGCTCGGATTGGATGGGGCGCTCTTGTCAGCAACCTCGGCGAGTCGGCGCATAAGAAGGTGTATGGCGAATCACAGCCCGAGTCGAAACCACTGTTACGAATACTGCCCACCGGCCCGGCTCACACGGCCCTGAAGAAGTTTAGAAACCGCACAGTCTACTCCAATGTGGTCAATGACGGAATCGTGCCGCTCCGCACAAGCTGTCTCCTATTCCTCGACTGGCAGGGTCTTGGCCGCGTTGAAAAGGCTCGGAGAGATGCCGGCTTGGTAGAAACGGTTGTTGGGTTTGGGTGGGCAGAACTGACCGGCACGAACATGGCGTCATCGAGACGCAGGAAGCAACTCGCCTTGGAAGAAGAGCAAGAAGACGATTCTGGTACCACTACTCCCAAGGGCTCTCCCAAAGAGGGCATGCGACAAGTTCCGCAGCCCTCTAGTGATGCGATGCATGAAGACGAACGAGCTAGCATCCGTTCTGTACCGCGGGCTCATAGTGAAGAAGATGACGAGCCTGGTATAGAGAACAGCAGTAACAGCAATCATTACAATGGTCCAGGCTCTGGCATCAATTCTCGTTTATCCACCTTCTTTGGGCTTTTCAAGAGCCAAGATCCGCCCAAACCCCAAGTTCCGACGGCGAAGCAGAAAAGGATGCTGCGGCGAGGACAAACTATGCCTCTTGCCAGCTCCGACATAGCTGCCTCGAGCTTCACTGACGAGTCTGATAGAAAACAGCAGCAGCCGCAGCCGCAGCCGCAGCCAAGCAAGGCTACTGCCGGACATGAGGTTGATGGCTATGCTGATGGCATGTCGGCACCACCAAAAACGACTTTCTTCGAATCAGCAGGCGATGTGCTCAACCCCAGTATCCCAAGTGAAGAATATCTACTTGACCCGTCTAAGAGACCGAGAACCATCTTTCACGACCGAGTATACCATCCCAGTGATATCCCGCCGCCGCCGCCGCCACCGTTGAAGAAACGCCAGTCGACGTTCGGTCGTCGCAGCAAGACTTCTGCCAAGATTTCGGGCTCGCCGCAACCATCAGAGCCAGGCAGTCCTTCCACATCTCCTCTCCCGCCCAACAATCCGCTGCATGCGGATTCCAAGGAAACCGTCTCGGGCAAAGACCACGGCGACGACACAACCAAGACCAGCCCTGAGCTCAACCCCTCGGAAACCGTAGACGCTTCCAACATGAGAGTAGAAGAGAAAATCGCCCGAGGCTATCACCGAGATCTGTCGTGGCGCAAAGTACTGGTCAAGTTGGAGCCAGACGCGCATAACAACATGATTGTGAGACGCATGTTTGCCAACGCGCATGGCTGGCCGGTGATCAAACACATGGTCGACGCACACTTTAGCGACTCCGAGACCGCACGCATTCGCGATGAAGAAGAGCCCAACATGGATCGAGCATTCGAAGTCCATCACGGACCAGCCGCCGATGGACGAGAAGTAAGGCCCTTGCACCAGCTGCGCAACGAAGGTGAATGCGCCAGCGGCGGGAGCAGCAAGTGCGAGAGTGGTGGAGAAGTCAATGAAGCTGGCGAAGAAGCTTTGGACGAGGTGCCCGAGCTGCCCAAGAAGAGCGACAGCGAGAGCATTCCCCTCGGGCGTCCGCGACTCGAAGCCTCAGACCGAGCGGATTCCATGACATGGAGTGACCGAGACTGGGTGGACTCCGACAACGAGAGCGACATGGAAGCCTATAGCGGGGGAAAATCTGGGCAGCAGCAGCAGTCGCAGCAGTCACAGCAATCGAAAGGGTCGTCAGATGCCGCAGGAACTACGTCCCCAACTCTGAGTTCCTCATCGTGGAAGTGGGCAGCCGAGAAAATTGTGGGCAAAGGAGCCGTGGGGGGTCGGAGCAAGAGTCCCCAGTCGTAACGGGGATTTTGGTGAGGGCTTTGCTGCCGCATTATTCATCTGTGTGTACATAAAAGTCTGAACGAGACCCTAGAGGGCTTGTAAGGGGCGGATGCGATGCTGTTTGTTTCTGTGTGTACATACATATGAGGTTGAGCGAGAGGGGGTTTCCCAGAGGCATGTTTCACTCATGATGGAGAAGGTACTTTATCATTTTAATATACTAGATTTACGCTCTAGAAGGAAGATCTATCCACAGAGTTATGGTCGTCATGGGTATGTCGCGTGTTCAGGCCCAGCGATGTATGGACAATTCGCATATGACCTGGGTATCGCACCTCGAAACGTTTTGGGCATCATATTGACGGACAGCAAAAAAGTCCTGTGCCCGATTCGGGCGTGACATTTCCATGAGAGATGTCCTGCGCAGTGCGAAGAGTCTGTGTGTCCAATGTCCACTGTTCACGATCAGTGTTCAAACTTCATGAAAGAGGGCCAAAAAGTTGATCAAGATGGTTGAAAAAGCATTCAATTGGACGAACAGGGAATCGAACCCTGGACCACTCCCAAATTCCGCATTGACTATCTTGGACCGAAGGTCCTGAGATCATCCCATGCTAAGGGAGTATTATACCACTAAACCATTCGCCCGAGTGTTGAGGTGTGGTGTAATATTGCATACTATGAATGTATGGACAAAAAAATTAGGTATGTACATACGTCGCATCCTCGACACTTTGTCCGTGGCTTTCTCCGATTACGTAGCCATGCGGCTTTTCTAGTTTCTAGAAGCCACATGAGCTCAAAAAAACGCAATCTCGTCAAATCATGTCACTTCTGTGCATCGCCTAATTCCCGCGCGGCAAGTAAGTGGGCCCTATCCCGACAAAGTTCAAACGCCGGCAAGTTTGCCGCCTAGACGCTCCAAGAAGGCGCGCACGTGATGCTGCAGGGCCTCTGGCAAGTACGTCAACACGTCGGGCATCGCGCTGTGGCCCACGACATGCCGTCAAGGATTAACGACGAAAGTTTGAAGTACTCCGTAGGCAGATTGTTGTCACGAACCCTCTACTGCTACATAGCTCTACTCTTTCTGCTCTTTCTGTGTCCTCATCGAAGCCTACGCTTTACGGCGATCTCCTCTCTCCCGCCGTTCCGCGCCATGGAGCATTGGGTAGAATCCGCCCGGCATCTCACCTAGGGATGGGCAAAATGTGTAAATTACGACCCTTGGTGTGATTTACATTGTAATTGCACGTGAATTACGAGAGGCTTGGGCTTTAGCGCCCATGCGCCAGTTCGCACACCATGATGTTGAAATCTCTATTCGTACGCCCATCATTCATGGGCCATGTTGCATATCTCTTGTCGCAGGGTATATAGGGGTAAAAAAAGCACAAAAGAGTGGCCAGACGGCTGCGCCCATTCTTTTGTGCAACATCTCTGCTTGTCTCTATTTCACAAGCTACACGTACATATGCGCATTCCTCCACGTAGAGATATCGCCTTGTTACTCAAATCCTTGAACACTGCGCGCATCTAGATTCTACCGCAACGATGCCTCGATCGTAGCACAGCATTCATTCATTCAGGGCAGGAGCAGATCGTCGCCGAAAAGTTCTAATGTCGACACTGTGCCGCTCGCCTGGGGACCACGGATATATTGCGACTCATGCTACACATTGCACTGTGTCCCGACGCCTCATTTGATATGCAATAAGGTCTCCAAAGGCTGTATATGTTCTTGTGACTGGTTCTGTGTTCTCTATCGTCAATTGTTCAACTTGTCTTTTCGAAGGGAGAGGGAAAAGTCGTCGTGGCCGCACGAGAGAACGGTCCAATTATCTTGCGGCATTATGGGAGATGGACGCATAGTCACGACTCACGAGCATTATAGTGGAGCACTGTAAGCTGTGAATTACGATTTTTCCTCGTGCATCCCTAACCTAACCGGGCGTATAGAACAACTGACCCAAGCCCCTGTCACTGACTTGACCCTCTCTCACACTTGACCCTCTCCCTGGCCAATCATCTTCGAGATA